ATTCATATTCCCCAAATGAATGAGAGCATATAATGTTTGTCCTTCTCCGATTGACTTATTTCACTAGCATAATACCCTCCAGTTCCATCCACGTCGAAGCAAATGGTGGGTATTTGTCGTTTCTAATGGCTGAATAATATTCCATTGTGTACATAAAAATAGATCTGCCCTACGACCCAGCAATTGCACTGTTGGGGATTTACCCCAAAGATACAGATGCAATGAAACGCCGGGACACCTGCACCCCGATGTTTCTAGCAGCAATGTCCACAATAGCCAAACTGTGGAAGGAGCCTCGGTGTCCATCGAAAGATGAATAGATAAAGAAGATGTGGTTTATGTATACAATGGAATATTACTCAGCCATTGGAAACGACAAATACCCACCATTTGCTTCAATGTGGATGGAACTGGAGGGTATTATGCTGAGTGAAATAAGTCAATCGGAGAAGGACAAACATTATATGTTCTCATTCATTTGGGGGAATATAAATAACAGACTACTAATTAAAATGATATCAACACCAAAAACATAAAAAGTATATACAGTGAAAAGAGCCTTGTCCTGGAAGTCAGGAGGCCAGGACTAGTTTACCACGTAGTGACCTTGGGCAAGTTACTTATTTCACTTCCTTGGGTCACAGTGTTCTTCTCTGGAAAAAAAGCCAGTAGTATTGTCTACCTACCTTTCCTACTCATCAGGGTTGTCTTCAAACCCAAGTAAGGGGGCACCTGGGTGGCTCAGTCAGTTAAGCATCTGTCTGCCCTTGGCTTAGGTCCTGATCCCAGGGTCCTGGGATTGAGCCTGACATCGGGCTTCTGGCTCAGTGGGAAGTCTTCTCCCTCAGCCTCTGCCTGCCCGTCTGCCTACTTGTGTGTGCACTCTCTCTCTCTCTCAAATAAATAAATAAATTTTTTTAAAGCCAAGTAAAAATCCTCAAGATCTTTATAGCTGATAAGGTGCTGTGTAAACTATTATTATCTTAATTACTTAATATTTTATATTAAAAACAAAGCCAAAACTGAACCAAATAGCTGTGATTCACCCCACCAATCTCTCCTCATATCCTGCCTTCTTTTGCCAAATAACAGAATAGGGTATAACTTGCAAAAAGACCTGTGATTTAAACCCTTTTTTTCTTTCACTGAGGGAATAACTGGTTTTCCATGTCCTGTAAAACTCCAAGAGAAGTTTTATCCCTGCCATTTATTAGACTACTAGGAATGGTACTAAATTTGTCCAAGCCTCAGTCTCTCCATCTATAACGTAAGGATTATTACAGCACCTACTTTTTTAGGGTTGTTGCTGGGATCAAATGAGATAACCCATGTAATATGATTTTACACATTGCTTCCCACATAGTAAAGACTCACCAACTGTTAGTAATTCACATCATTACTGTTACTACTACTACTACTACTACTACTACTACTACTACTGCCACTGCTAAGGAATCTTGTCCTTGGTGGCCTTCTTTGGCATAGCTTCTCAGCTTTGTTACATGGCCAGTAATTCCTCTGGAACCAAACCCCACAACATAATCTCTTACTTGAAAAATTAGTGTCTCCTGCAATCACAGCCCTCCCCTCCCTTCTCCCTCCATGTTTAGTGGCTGTCAAATTACCATTGCCTCCAGAGGAGGCAACTTTGCTCAGCCAGAGAGCCTTCTGCTCAGAGGCAGCTAAGGTATCCACAGGTTTAAGGGATAAGTGAAGTCTCCCATGGATCTTTTACCCTCCCTCAAGTCAATCCCACCCCAAAATCCCTTTACCTGAGACCTTGCTCCTGCTCTCACCTATCACTGGTGGGGCAAAGCAGACAAGACACACACACACACACACAACATACACACATGCCTCCCATTCCCCCCAACAGAAGCACTAATGAATTGATGAATTTCATCTCTAGACCACTACTGCTTCAAGAAGCAAGTAGAACCAACTGGTTCTAGTATCCATTTCTGTCTACCAACCTTATGATTCTTTTCAACACTACTTTATAAAGCTGAGAAGTAATTAAAAGATGAAAACACACACATCCCCTCTTTATTATCTAACCACTTCATCCCAAGAGGACCTGTTAGTAAAAGTATTCTTAGGTCCTATGCATGCCTTCAGATAGCTGTCTGCATGGGGCCAGTTTGGCAATAAGATAATCTCCCCAACTCCCCAAGTACATGGGTTAGGTGATACACGCTTGTCAAACCTACATTATGAGAGACATTTATAGCCATTATTAGAAATAGACAGGTATTTTTTAATAAAGACCAAAGCACAGAAAGCATCAATTGAGTCTTCATTGCTTTGTTCTTTGAGTGAGTTGTAGCCAAATTAGCTACATAGTTGTATAGTTGCAAGATTCCTTTGGCACTAAGTTGCAAGCATTTTAAAATACCTCAAAAGGCCGAAGTCCCCAGCTTTAAGAGCTTCTAGTCATCATATATCATGTTGTTGCAAAACATAAAAATACAGAAAATTTGGGATTATGACATTTCTGGCACCCCACCAAAGGACTGTGATTTTTTTTTCTCATTTGTGAATCATTTGCAGTACATGGTCTACTCCAGCTAAACTAGTGGAAATCTGCAGACATTACCAGCCCATGGCTTTTCCTATTGGGTGAAATAGTGGCCCTTATTGGGTGAAGAAGTGGCCTGAAGTGATCCCCATGTTAGACCTGACACCCAAGCCAGAATATGGTGGCCATCTTATAGGTTCTTGGTATTTGGAGGGCACAGGCAGTAGAGTCAAATAGACCTGGGTTTCAACCCCAGCCCTGCTACAATGACTTGAACTAGTCACTTAACCTCTCTAAGCCTCAATTTTTCCTCCTCCCTTACAGGACTGTTACTGTGGTCATTAAATGAGATAATGCATGTAAACCAAGGTCTAATAACAGGCATTTGTCAGTCAAAAATAACTCTCTTCCTTTGGAGGGGGATGGTTGAAGAGAAACTTAGAGAAGAAACTACTGCTCTGGCTGCTTCAATGAGGGCATCAGCAGAGTCAGAACAGGGACCACTGGTCTCACGGGAGGTGTTAGGATATCGTGTGGCTTGGTGGTGGGATCCCAGAGATGGAAGCAGTAGGGGGTGCCCCTAAGAAGAAATACCGACAGAGAACCTATCCATCTTTGGAAGCTGATGGTCAAGTGAAAGGGTGGGGAATAAGGAAGTTGGAAGCAGGCATCCTTTGTTATTCTTTATAAGTTGGTGGCAATAGATAATTGGTGCCCTGGTCTCTGTGATCTTGGTTAACTTGAAGACCGGTGTCCAAAATTCCCTGATACCTCTCTTTTAGGCACCTGGAGTGACCACTTAACTTCCTTTTCTAACCATTAGCAACTGTGCTGTAGCAATAAGTCTTCCACTAAGCTCCCACTTACATCATTCCTTTCACTGCATTTCCAGCTTCTAAGCTTTTGGTTCTACCAGGGCTCAAAGAAAAAAAAAATCCTCCTTCCCCTAGCCTAAACCTTTTGTCTTCCCTGCATTTGTAGAGGAAGGCCAACCTTTTGCCTTATCATAAACCACTTTTCTCCTCAAACTTCCAAAGCTCTGACCCAACCCTTCCTCTTGATCCAACTCTTGGAATCAAGCTATCTTCCTGCTGGTCTCCTTGCATCTCTTTCCATGCTATCCTGCTAGAGCCCCCAAAACTATGCATATGTTCCAGGAGGCACTCCCAATACAGAGCAAATTCAATGGCTGTGGTTATAGCCTTCACTCCCACTGAAGAATCAATGAAGATTCCCCACATCACTAAAATAGAGTGACCTAAAGCCCCAATCCTCGTCCTGCCACTAATTTGCTATCTAATTTAGGTAAGTACAGTCCCTCTTAGGGCCTTATTTTCATCATCTCTAAGGGGGTGAGGAGGGAGAAGGTTAGTCATTCAGAGTCATTCAGAGCTAAGTCAAGGTTAGCTCTGAAAATTAAAAGGCAGTTTTGTAGAAAAAGCACTGACTTTGAGCTACATAGACCCCATCTTCATATCCCCTTCCTCAGCTAAGTTACTGGTCTCTTATAGCAGTGAAATAGCATGTTCAAGTCTGCACAGTTCAATGCAGCAAAACGAGCATTTGAATCTGTGTAGGTCTGGAAGGACTCAGCTGAGCTCTTCCCCCTTCCTGGCTGCTGCTGGTCCCAGGGCAATTATCAAGAGCCGGGTTACTGTTTTTTGTACTTTGTCAGCCTGGGTCCAAATTACTCACCTCCTCCCCAACACCCAAGCAGTTAGTGGTCCTTACCCTTCCTAGGAAACTCCAATAATAGAAAAAGGAAAGGGAGAGAGGGCAGAGAGATTTGAGAGCACATACGTTGTTTAGGCTTTATGGTCCTAGTAGACTAGTTTTAAAGTTACCAACCCTTGATATTTATCTTATCAATGTACTCACACTGGTGCAAAACGACACGTATATACAGAAAGTCACTGCAGTATTATTTATAATAGAATAAGATTTTAAACCACTGTCAACTAATAGGAGCCTGTTTAAGTAAATCATACTATATCCATATAGCAGAATGCTATGCAGTTGTAAAAAGAAATGAGGCAGCTCAATATTGAAAGGACTCCATGATAAATGAAGCACAGAGAGCAAGAAACAAAGCACAGTGCATAGAATGCTATGATTTACTTGAAGGCAAAATAATATGTGTATATGTTTGGCATGTGTAGAAAATATCTTTTGAATGATATGTGAGGAACTGGTTAAAGTTTTTGCCCTATTCAGAAAAAAATGTATCATCATTCTCAACTTTATTTCACTAATACAGAACAGGTACATGGATAATCATTTATAGTTCTTCTTTAGCACAGGAAGTAGTGGGAGGTATTTGCAACTATAGTCCTAAGCAGTAGAAAGATCTGATTCCTCAGTGTTAGGGTGACTTGTTAGGGTGACTAACAGATCTTGGTCTTCCCATGATTCTCCTGGTTTTAGCACTGACAGTCCTGGGAAAACTGGGACAATTGATCACCTTCACATTCTTCTGCTGCAGCCTTTATCCAGCCAGGGTTGCTAGTGCCAAGGAGGAAGCTCCCAGTAGTGGGGTGAAAAAAAACTGTGGCACAAGCCCCTGCCTCTACAATCCAGAAGGAACTCACACTTATAGAGTGGCAGGCACATGTCCTGTGAGATATCCTCATCTAACAAGACAAGGAAATTGAGGCTTAGAGAGGTTAAGTGATTTGCCCAAGGTCACACAGCTAGTAAGTCCTGGAGCCAGTCTGTCTGACTCCTGCCATGTCAAAAGGACCCTTGGGAATGTAAAGCTTTCAGTGAAACAGCAGGCCTGGCTTTGTTTAAAGCCTAAAGCACCCAGAGTTGCATTTTAACCAAATAAAACATTGTTGCTCTGAATCAACTTTGGCAGGCCATTTTGGGAAATGGCTTTCTTCCCATCACCCCTGCCCCCAAAGCAAAGAGAAGAGATGTTCCAGGTTTTTAGACTGAAGGAGCCAGAGGCAGAAAACTTGCTTCCCCAGCTGTGCTCATAGTAGGAGTCCAGTTCTCACTTGAAGAGTGATAACCTACTTATCCCCCAACTTGATCCACCTCCCTCCCAAGATCATCATGAGAAAGTAAAACAGAAGAGCAGCCAGCTAATAACAGGTGGTGGTACATGTCATGATGCTTGCCTACTCTTTGATTGGCTGGGGTTGGAATTTAATTTGGCTATGTAATAAAAGCTCCTTTTGCTAGAAAAGAATGAAAAAAAAAAAACCCAGAGCCTCATCCATCAAAAACCCACTGAGCCACAGAAAAACAGACGTAGCAGATAGCAGAAGCTTTGGGGATTTCAGAGGAGCATAGGAAAAGGTCACAGCAGCAGCTGTACTTGCCCTTTCCCAATTAAACAGCAGGCAGGTGATAATTATATATAGGAAATTGGGCTGCTTTATAGACCCTGTTGAGATATTTTATAGAATATATTTAATAAATTTAATAAATATGGGGCAGGGGAAATGCTTACCTTCACTGCTGGCAATTAATTTGTACATGCTGAGTTGTAGAGCATCGGGGAGAGAGATCATCTGTGCCAAGATGCAAGAGAATAATGGAGACTGGCTTATCAAACAGGACCCAAAAGGAAACTGAAGCAGAGCTTTCCAAGCTCTAGATTTATCTGCAAGTGCTGCTACAATTTAGGCAAAGATATTTTGTGTGAACCTGAATTACCTATGCTTTGGCAAATCCTATATTCTTGGATTTGAATGAAGCCAATACATCTCTGTGGTAACTGAACTCAACACCACACTCACCCCCACTACAAAACAGCCAACCTTGAGAGTAGACTGCAGTGTTTGGGTTTCAATGTCAGATAAAACTGTCAGGAAGGAGTAGGAGGCTCGCCTGCAGTATGTTCTGGTTTAAGAAGCATCAGGGGGGTCACATGACATTTCAGTATGTACAAGGATCCTATGATTCTTCCTAACTTCTTCCTATATGTGGCATCAAAAGATTACCACAGAAATGTGGCAGCTTGGACCATAAAATGGAGGTGTGCTCCATTTTATGAAATAGTTGTGTGCCTGTACAGGTGGCTACCAAGAAAAACTTCACATATGGAATCCTGTTCCTCATTGTCTTTCATAACATTAGAGATGCATTCTTTGGACAAATATTTTCACCCCAAGATGCTGCAAAATCTCAGAAATGCAAAAGAAATATTGACAGTCTTATTTGAGAGGAAAAATTTCAAATGCCTTGATAATGTCTTAGAAATAAAAATATATGGACAAGACACGTAAACTAAAGTTCAGGTTATCTTTTGTACAGCAGAATTGAGTTAGATGCCTTCCTACCTACTTCAAAGAGCTGCTTAGAGGATTCAATAGCAAAAGTAAAAGTACTTTATCGATCAAAAGTGCTGTATACATGTGAATTTTCATTACTCTTCTAGTCAATCTAGACAGTCACTTAAAAAAAAACAAAACAGAACTCCCTTCTTCCCCATAATGGATTACCATTTGCCTCTTAGAGGGAAACTTATTAACAGTTTCAGTACTGAGTATTCAGAGATGTTCACAGAACATTTTTTAATTCTTAGATATTTATGGTCTAGTCTTTCAGGACAAAGCTTGTAGATAAGTGTGTTCACTCTGGTGCGCATACTACTTAGTCACTCCCAGTTTTCTTGTCATGGGCAGAGTGGTGGAAAGAGAATAGAGCCCACCAGCATTTTTGTAGTTGTGGTTCCTCAAGTAAGGCAACAGAAAACACCCAAGCCTCAGATTTACGTTCTGGAAATTGGAGGTAACACTGCATGATTGTGGACGGTAATGAGATGATGTTATCTGCAAGCAGCCAGGAACTGGGAAACACTGCAAATCCTGTCATGGAATACAAGTGCTCTTTTCCCAAAGCCTCTGTTTGCAGGATATGTGTGTATGCCTTTCTTCCAATTTTTGTCTTACATCCTTGTTAGATTTAGTGGCCTTGAGTAGGTAAAGGTTTGTTTGCATGCACTTGTTTTATTGACTTGAGGAAACCCATTGATTGATTTTTAGCTTCTGCTTGTTCAAACTAGGGATACTTACTGAGTTTTAAATAAAAAGTGGTTTGTTTAAAAACAGAAGGATTGGTTTCTTAGGTACGCTTCTCTCAAATGTGGACAGAGTTGAAAAGGAAAAGAACAATAGGAACTTTACCTTCTTCCAATCTAGATTTGGGTATTTGTAGAAGTTCAGAGTTGATTATATAGAATCTGTGTTTAGAACTTAAGAATCTCTGATATGGCCTTCTAACCTTCCTACCTACTGTACATAAATCACGTCAACATTTATCTACTCCCAACTTGGTAATGTATATCTCATATGGATGGGATCCTAATACATGAATTCTGAATTCATACAATGCAATCTCCTCTGAGACTAGAAATACCCAACACTAAATTCACTTTGTCTTCTAGAGAAAGTAACAATAGTTATAGTTCAGAAATTGCAGACTGGTTGCCTTTGGGTGGACTTTGGCCTGCATACGTGTTTTGTTTGGCACTCACAATTTAAAGAAATTTAGTTAGTTACTAGCATTTCAATATTACAAAACTTTGCACAAATTTTAGCCTGGATTGCCAGCTTGTCTTGAAAAATAGAATGAGCTGCTAACACTGGTCAGCATTCAATCATAACAAACACCTATAACTTAGTAAGAACTTATCTTGGTTTCTCTAGCTCCCCTAATAGGTTTTGAAAACCTTTTGTTACCAACCAGCCTTTTTTGGACACTGACTAGATAGCCCTGTACTTAAAGCTGTGCATTCACAGTGACCAGTTTAATATTATGTAACATAGAGGAACAAATTGTGATTTGGCTGGTGTACCCAATGACAGGATATATGACTAGGTAGCTACTGTCTTGGTGGAACTCCTCATTTGAACCAGACAGTAAACATTTAGAGCAATAAGCATGAACCCTTCAAAGCTCTTTCAAATAATTCTCTGAGCTCACATAACTTTGTGTTTCTCTATGTGAATCATCAGTGTCTCCTCCTCCTCCACTCCCACTATCCTCATCTTGAGATAGGGAATGTGCCTTCAACTTCAGCTACCTCATAGGACCTACTCAAAGGTGGAGTCCATATTAGAAGCTCAGAAAACATGAATGAAGCACTCTATCCAATGATACATGCACCACAAAGTCTTTTTTCCCTTTTTCTTGACCATGACAAATGCTAGGTTCATGAAATGAGAAATGAAGGTTTTGATGACTTGTGTCCTCAGATTAAAAGGTTAATTAATTAATCAATTAATTAATGGTTCACTGTGTCCTTGGATGGATAACAGGATGTCATTAATTAGCAAGGCACAAGTAAGAGAAGAAAACAGAACATTTCTTTAGTAACAGGAAGGAGAATTAAAAAGTGATTATTACTAAGGGTTGATGGAAGGATGCAGCTGGAAAAGAGGCTGAATTCTACTTTTTTCAATATTTCAAATCACCAAGGTCTGAGAATTTTTCAAAAACCAGAAAGCCCAGAGTTCTGGGAATCTTCTGGAGGAACAAATCCCCCTCCTTATTTCTCATTATTACCTTATACCATCATGCCGCCTTGAAGGGAACAGAAAGAGAAGAGAGCTAGGTGTGCCAGCAGCAGTAAGAGGCATGTTGAAGTTAAGGGAGGTTTTTTTTTAATTTTTATTTATTTTTTATTGGTGTTGAATTTGCCAACATATAGAATAACACCCAGTGCTCATCCCATCAAGTGCCCCCCTCAGTGCCCGTCACCCAGTCACCCCCACCCCCCGCCCACCTCCCTTTCTACCACCCCTTGTTCGTTTCCCAGAGTTAGGAGTCTCTCATGTTCTGACTCCCGAAGTTAAGGGAGGTTTTAAAGAAGTGAAGGGAAGCTTCAAACTGAAAATAGAGGGAAGGGGAAAATATCTACCCAAAAACTGTACAATGAGCTATTACAGGGGACACTGTATATGACAAAATAAGAATAGTATGAGAAGCATTTAATAATAGACAGAGTAGAATAACTTGGGAAAAGGACAGAAACAATCCCTGTGGCTTCAGTAGTTGGAGCAGTTAAAATTTTGAACTTAAGCCTTTAGCAGAAATGGATAATATGACTGCTTAGGTATCATGAAGACTTAGTATGAAAGAATATATGGCATAGAGGTGAGAAGGTTAGGATAGAGAAAATAAATGCCACCATTGAGAGTGTATACCATAGGCCACCAGACCAGAGAAAGGAAAGAATGACATAATTGCAATGTTTAGAAGAGTTATTTTCTCATCAGTGACTCAGTTTCAATAATTTAAATATAATTTCTTATTCTCCCTGCCAGCCTTCCCCTTCCCACAAGATCTTATTGCTCACTTTGCCTTGACTCTTCTGTACCACTCTTTTGTAAGCATCTCAAGGGTATTACAATAACCTTGAAACTCCTGTAAGTTATCAAGAGGACTCAGATAAACTTTGCTCATGAACTGACTTTACAATTGACACACAGAGGCTCTATTAATACTATCTTATTGTTTAGAGAATTGAACAGAGAGTGTAATACATGTGCGTGTATTTGGAAGAAGAGAATGGAAGTAGCAAAGGATTGCTTAGATCATGGTCTCAAACTCAAATGCCTTCTGGAGTTAGACACCCAATCTGAAGGGAGTGGCTGCTGCTCTG